AGGAACCGCCTCGTAGTCTCAAAAGAAAATATACAAGGAGAACTCCCGAGGAACCGCCTCGTAGTCTCAAAAGTAAATGTGCAGGGAGAACTCCCGAGAAACTGCCTCGTAGTCTCAAAAGTAAATATACAGGGAGAACTCCCGAGGAACTACCTCATAGTCTCAAACGTAAACACACAGCTCAGACCAAAAAATACAACAGTTAACAGCAAGATTTCTACAGTTATTCTGATAAAGAACAAATAAAAGCAAGAAAATAACTAGGCATGCTTCATAGAGTTCAAGTAAGCAGTTAAAGCACGTAGACATGCGATATTAGACTAAACATGATAATTACACATATTGAAATAGCTCAATTAAGAATGAAAACACACTAATACTCATTTAAACGGTATAACTTAAATTAAAGGAAAAACATGTTGCTACTTAGTAAAATAAATCGAGTTTTTCAACAAATAGCTTGTGTACGTACTCGTCACCTCACGTACACTGCGCTTACATATCACAACAGTACAAAATTCTAAGAGAATTTCCCCCATACAAGGTTAGGCAAGCCACTTACCTCGAACCAAGTGCAATCAATCAGTAAGAATGCCCTTTCCTCGATTATTCGACTCCGAATGGTCCAAATATAGCAAACAATAATTACATATCATAAATACAACTATAATAGACTAATCTAATTAATGAAATCAAGACTTTAACAAAAATTTCGAAATCCGTCCTAAAAAGTCGACCCGGGCCCATGTCTCAGAATCGGGCAAAATCACAAAATCCAAAAGCCCATTCACTCACGAGTCCAACCATACCGAATTTATCAAAATCCGACCTCAAATGACCACTCAAAACCCAAAATCAAACTCTTCAAATCTCTAGCCTCAAACTTCCAAATTCCACCTTAAATACATACTAACTAGGTGGAAAAATAAACGGGGAAGCAAGATTATAGATCAAAAATAAGCACAAGGGACTTACCGCACGAAATCCCTTGAAAATGCTCTCAAGCAATCGTCAACCCGAGCTCAAAAATGAAGAAAATGGCCAAAAATCTCGAAGCCTCGCTTAAAAAGGTTCTGTCCAGGCATTTTCGCATCTGCAGACCATCGGTCGCACCTGCGAAATTTACCTCGTAGGTGCGAAAATGACTTAAGGAGGCTGGGTCCGCATATGCGAGCAAGGGGCCGCACTTGTGCGCCCTCTCCTGCGAATATCTTCTGCTTCTGCAATCCTCACGGTCCAGGCCCTGTCCGCTTCTACGCTCTATCTTTCGCAGATGCGGCTCCGCTTCTGCGGGCGAATCTCGCACCTGCGCCCACAGACCAAGCTTGACCAAATCGCACCTACGCTCCTCCTTTCGCATGTGCGAGTTCGCACCTGCGGTCTCCCCACCGCAGGTGCGAAACACCAGAAACTAGAAAACTTCAGCAATTAGCCTAAGTCCAAATTCAATCCGTTAAGCATCTAAAACACACCCGAGGCCCTCGGAACCTCAACCAAATATACCAACAAGTCTTAAAACACCAATACAAATTAGTCGAGCCCTAAAAATACGTCAAACAACAACAAAAATACGAATCACCCGCCAATCCAAACTTAATGAACTTGGAACTTCAAATTTCTACAACCGATGCCGAAACCTATCAAACCACGTCCCATTGACCTCAAATTTTGCACACATGTCATATTCAACATTACGGACCTATTTCAACTTCCAGAATAGGAATCCGACCCCGATATCAAAAAGTTCACTTTCGGTCAAAAATCTCCAAAAATTCGACTATCGTCATTTCAAGCCTAAATCAGTTACAGACCTCAAATTCACAGTCCGGACATGCTCCTAAGTCCAAAATCACCCAACGGAGCTAACAGAACCGACGGAACTCCATTCCGGAGTTGTCTTCATACAGTTTCGACTACGGTCAAAATCCTAAGACTTAAACTTCCGTTTAGGGACTAAGTGTCCCAAAATCACTCTGAAACCACAACAACAACATCCCGGTAAGTCACATAAGCAGAAACAGATACAGAAAAAGCAGAAAATAGGGGATCGGGGCTATTACTCTCAAAACGACCGGCCGGGTCATTACGACAACCAACTCAGCAAGTAACAATACTAAATAAAGAACTGAAAGCAGTGACGAGCTTCACAGCTGAGTCCCATTATAGTAATTTCCAACATAATAAGGTAGGCATGCTTTCAAGTTCAACATTTAAGGCCAAAACAGTAATTTCATGTCATGTTCAACTGAAACATGAGATAATATCTTTCAGAAATTTTTCAAAACAGGGATATATGACAAATGTAGTACAACAATAATGAAATCAATGTATCATCTCAAAGCAACAATCACTCAATCCTCCCACTCGCTCAACACTCAGCACTCGCACTCAGTAGGTACTTGCGCTCACTGGGAGTGTGTACAGACTCCGGAGGGGCTCCTTCAGCCCAAGCGCTATAATCTGTACGGACAACTCACGTGCTGCACGGACAACTCACGTGCTATAGTATCAATATCTGGATCTGTACGGACAACTAACGTGCTGCACGGACAACTCACGTGCTATAATATAATATCTGAATCCGCACGGATAACTCATGTGCTATACGGACAACTCACGTGCTATAGTATAATATCTCATAATCAGGCCATCGGCCTCACTCAGTCATAAATCTCTCCAGTCTCTCGGGCTCTCAATAATCATGAAAATCAGCCCAAACAATAATGATATGATGCATCAATAATGAACAATAGAGACTGAGATAAAATAATCAAGTAAACTGTAACTAAGTACAAAACTACAATTCAGCAGATAATTCAACATGCACACGACCTCTGTGGGTCCCTACAATGCCAACACATAATCTAAACATGATTTGTGGTTCAATTTCTCTATTACATGGAGAATGTACAGATAACAATAAATTATTCAATTATACAATTCCTACGGTACACGCCCACACGCCCGTCACCTAGCATGTGCGTCACCTCAAAACCGATCATATAACACATAATCCGGGGTTTCATACCCTTAGAACCAAATTTAGAACTGTTACTTACCTCAAATCGTGAAATTCTTTATTCTGCTATGCCCTTGCCCCGCGAATCGCCCTCCGAACGCCTCGAATCTAGTCATAATTAATTCTATTCAGTCAATACGAATTATAGGAATTAATTCCATACAAAAATATAAATTTTCCTACAAAATCCGAAAATTGCACTCAAAAGTCGCCTGTGAGGCCCACGTCTCGGAACTCTACAAAAGTTACAAAATATGGACGACCATTCAACCACGAGTCTAACCATACAAATTTTATCAAATTCCGACATCAACCCGACCTTCAAATTCTCAAATCTTATTTTGAAATCCCTAGGCCCAAACCCTCTAATTTCACCTCAAAAATATGTAATCTAGTCGAAATACTCAATGATAATCTAATATTATTGACTAACAATGATCACAAGTGACTTACCTCAAGTTTTCCCGTGAATTTTCTCAGAAAAATTGCCCAAAACCGTGCTTGAAATGTCCCAAATGACAAAAAATGTCAGAACCCCTCTATTTTGTAATCTATCCAGGGGTTCCGCTTCTGAGAAAAACTAACCGCATATGCGGTCCCGCTTTTGCGGTCATGCTGCCGCTTCTGTGCCCGCTTCGCTTTGCCCAGCTCCCCTTGCCTCCGCTTCTGCAACCTTAGAGTCGCTTCTACGGACTCGCTTCTGCGGACCTCACGCATCTGCGATGTCCATCCCGTTTCTGCGAGCTCGCACCTGTGAGCCAAATTCCGCAGGTGCGATTGCATCAGAAGGCAGAAATTTTCAGATTTCTTCAAAGTTCGAATTTGATCCATTAACCATCCGAAACTCACCCGAGACCCTCGGGACCTCAACCAAACATACCAACAAGTCTTAAAACATCATACGAATATAGTCGAAACTTCAAATAATATCAAACAACGCTAAAACCATGAATCATACTCCACTTCAAGTTTAATGAAACTAAGAAATTCCAACTTCTACATTCGATAACGAAACCTATCAAATCAAGTCCGATTGACCTCAAATTTTGCACACAAGTCATTAATGACATAACAGACCTATTCCAATTTTCAGAATCAGATTCCGACCCCGATATCAAAAAGTCAACTCCTCGGTCAAACTTCCAAACTTAAATTTCTATTTTCGCCATTTCAAGCCTAATTTAGCTATGTCTTTCTAAATAATTTTTTAGACACGCTCCTAAGTCCAAAATTACTATACAGAGCTATTGAAATCATTAAAATTCTATTCCGAGGTCGTTTACACATAAGTCAACATCCGGTCAACCTTTTCAACTTAAATTTTAAACCTTGGAACTAAGTGTTCTTATTTATTCCAAAACCTCACTAGACCCGAACCAATCACCCCAGCAAGCTACATAACAACTGTAAAGCATAAATGAGCAGTAAATGGGGAGATGAGGTTGTAATACTCGAAATGACCGACCGAGTCGTTACATGCACACAAGTGTAATAACATTTAACAAACTTGCTCTCTACCTAAAATCATCAAAACAACATGAAATAACAAGAATCGATCATTAAAACTTAAGAATTTCAACTTAAACTCAATTTTCATAATTTTTCACATAATGCATCGAAATGCGTTCGGGTCAACCTGGACCCTAACCAAACATACGTTTAAGTCCACAAACATTATAAGAACTTACCGAAATCGTCAAAATACCGATCCGAAGTCGTTTACCAAAAATATTGAACCTGGTTAACTCTAGCCTTATTTTATGTCAAAAGTCATATTTTCTTCAAACTTTTACGTAAAAATTTTCCGAAAAACGACACGGACTACACACGCAATTTAATAAACATTAAATGAAGCTATAGGAGGTTTCAGACCACTAAAATTAAGGTTAATACTCAAAACGACTTATCGAGTTGTCACAATATTACTTTTTTCTGGTATATATCAATTCATCTTCAAACCCCTAAAATAGGGAAAATATAAAAGGGAATCTCCTTCTCCCTATCTCTCTCAATTAAATGGTAAGTCCCTTCCCTCTCGATAAGGAGTGATGTTTATTGACTTTTGGCACCACAAAAGAACCAGAAAGTCTCATGTCTTCGCAGCAATTCAACTATATTTTGTAATTCCTATCCTCTTACAAAGTCTTCTATTATACCACAATATCTTTAACTTTCAACAGACATGGCAGAAGAAGTGATCCTTTTAGATTACTGGCCTAGTCCATTCGGAACAAGGGCAAGAATTGTACTTGCTGAAAAGGGAATCAGCTACATCCACAAGTTCGAGGACTTGCCCAATAAAAGTCCTTTGCTTCTGAAAATGAACCCGGTTCATCAGAAGGTGCCAGTTCTTGTTCATAAGGATAAACCTGTTTGTGAATCAGATACCATTATTCAGTATATTGATGAAGTCTGGAATCAGAGTATTCCCTTATTGCCCTCTGAACCCCACCAGAGATATATGGCTAGGTTTTTGGTTGACTTCATCAACAAGAAGGTCAGGACTTCTTACAATTTTAATTTTACCCTTGTAAATTTTTTAGAGTACTTTTATCTATATTTTGTACTCCTACTGTCTTTCATATTGTCGGGCGTTATTTACTGGTTATTATTATTATTATTATTTTTATCTATTTTCTGGTTCTTATGATACAGTTATTATTTATATGGTTTCTGTTGACAGTAATGATATACTGTCTCTTTTCGTTTTCTTGAGTCGAGGGTCTATCGGAAACAAGGGGTAAGGTGTGTGTACACACTACCCTCCCCAGATTGCACTTGTGTAATTTTACTGAGTTATTGTTGTTGTTCTACTCCTACTGCCACATTTTATGTGATATTTTTTGCTTTTCGAGATTTAAATTTTTTAATATTGATCATGCATTTGGAGATAGAATTTTTCAATTTTTTAAGATAAAATTTACATATTTGGAAACTATATAAAAGGTACTATAAGTCACTATAATTAATAATTCCAAATATATATAAAGCATATGAAAAAATTACATCAAAGAATAATTCGTTTTACTCTCGAAATCCAAATACCTTCACATAAATTGGGACAGAAGGAGTACTTCATAGTATTAGATCAAGATGAACTTAATTAGTGATGGTCAGTAAAGATTTATATAGCTGACTCAACTTGCTTAGAGTCGAGGCATAGTAGTTATCGCAATAATGTATCTTAACCAATTATAACAAATTACTTATTCTTAAAATTTACCAAATTATGCTCTGTCATAAATAGTTGCATGTTGTTATAAGACACGCTTTAACATAATAATGTAAAAAACAAAACTATACATAGTAAACGTACAAAAGTTAAAAGTCTATTTGAAGTAGCAAAAAGTATAAAGAAAAATGATGAGAAGGTCTTATAGTACAAAGCTTGTAAGCATTTTGATATTTTTTAATCTAATGGTAATTTAGGTATACGAGTCAAGTATAAAGGTATGGATGGGGGCAACAGAAGAGCAAGAAAATGGCAAGAAAGAACTTGTGGAGTGGTGTAAGTTGTTAGAAGCAGAGCTTGGAAACAAACTTTACTTTGGAGGAGATGTCTTTGGATTTGTAGACATAGCCCTTGTTCCCTTCTACAACTGGTTTATTGTTTTCAAGAAATTTGCTAACTTCAACTTAGAAACAGAATGTCCAAAGCTGGTGATGTGGGGCAACAGATGTTTGAACAGAGATTCTGTATCAAAGTCTCTTCCTACTTCAGAACAAGTCTATCAAGCCTATTTGGAATTCAAGAGAGGCTGGTGACATTATAACTTTTCTCTCGTCCAAAACGTTTATATTGGTTCATTCTAGTTTTTTAAGTTGTCTTGGAACATCAATTGCGAAAGAAAAAAAACCAAGAAAATAGATATTTTCATTCATCTCAACTTGTGCGTATCACAATTATTACATCGTGGACCTGCTATGTATCTTTCCCGTTTGGATTATCTTAAAAAACTGATTTTTCTGCAGAAATAACTTTTAAGTCAAAAAATAATAAATTGGGTTTGCTCAGCTTCTTTCCTCTGGCTTGTTTAAGCAGTTTTTGTTGGGTTTTTCTTTAAAGGGTGTGAATTGAAAATTGAAGAGACACCTTTTGAATTGCACTCTCCATCTGACCCTTCCTTTGTCTATAAATGTAGAGTCTTGGCCTCATTTTTTATACATGAAAAAACTGAAAACTTCTCCCTCTTTTCTACATTGTTGCATTATTTTTCCAAATAAATAAAGTGTCAAGTGTGATTTGCTTTGTTCGTTGAAGTTCTGTAATTTCGATTGCCAGTATTACAAATTAGTTTTCCGTTCTATCCTGTAAGGAAGTAATCCATAACCTTAGGCAACAATGACGAGATTAAATTCCTTAAGGACACATAAGCAACTTGTGACCTCGAAAATTATTATGTTTTATTTTATTGAATTAATGTTTCTTTGCTTCTGTAATTTTCTGAGTTTGAACACAGTTTACTAACAATCTTAATGAATTTAAGTTATTTTTGGATGGCTGTTAGAGAGGAGAACCAGAGCGAAAATCTTTTTCTGTGATTAATGAACAAGCAGTATTTTTGAAATGTGGCCGAGAGTTCCTGGCACATGTGGGGGTCGGGCCGCATGAATGATGGTGAATTATGACACAACCTATTTCTTAGAAAAGCGAGAATTGATGCGTTGTTGTTTCTTGTACATCTTTTTGTTGCATTTTGCTGGTATATGATGTGGCAAAGTTGTACCAAATGTTGTATGGCCATGAAATTTGACAGCAATGATCTTGGCCACTCGGTCAACTAATAGAGCAAATTTATCTTGTTTTAGAATTTTCTGCTATAAAATACATATATGTTAAGCATATGAATTGTTTGAAGATTACCATAATGATGTTACCTACTGCCATGTGTTGCTTTGGCATAATGAAATTACCAATTAGGAGGAAGGCATGTCAAATAGTTGCCTTGAAGTAAGAATCACTGGTTATAAACATTTCAGTAATTTGAAGACGTGACAAATATGAAGGCATTGGGTAGGCGACACGTTGTTATACTTGTTGTCAAGAATGACAAATTTGGATCAATTAAAAATGTGGTGGCTTCTTTTTAGTGTTTGACGCAGTCGTTGCTATCGATACGGCGAGGAGCCAAGGATCACCAAATGCCATTTATACAGGGAGAGATTTAGCCAATTGTTTAAATACGGGAAATTTATTCTCTCCAAATTTGACAAAACGGTGCGGCCGATCATCAAGTTTTCTCAAATTTTATTTTGATGAATCATTAGATTCTATATAAACTTGACAAAACTACAGATTATATCCATTTATAAGTAACTTATTACAAAAATTGATCAATTTATAAAATATTACTAATATTAGCCAATTAGTTATTTGTAGTAATTTTTTTTTTGCTTTCTTTTGATACCAAATCAGTCCAAATCACCTCGATTTTGAACTCGATTTAAACTACGAATATTGATACCAAATCAGTCCAAATCATCTCCAATCTTTCTCAAATTTTGTATATTGACTCATATATATGTTTCCAATTAATTTCAACCATACCCATGGAAAAATATCCTTTTTACTTAGATTTTTGAAATCTTGTATTTTTTTTTTTTTTTTTTTGTGTTTCATCACCTTGTTTCCTACCTCATACGTGAAATTTCCTTTCCGTCTTGCATCTAATGTTGTTGATCACGATTAAAATATGGAAGTAGATCTTTGTGTGTGATTCTTGGAGAGAAAGTGTAACGACCCGACCGGTCGTTTCGAGAGTTATAGCTCCGTTTTTCCCATTTCTGCTTTCTTTTGTGCTTTTCAGCTATATTATGATATATCGGGTTAGTTGGTTCGGGCCCGGAGTGGTTTCAGAGTGAATTGAGATACTTAGTCTGTTATTTAGAACCTTAAGTTGGAAAAGTCAACCAGATGTTGACTTATGTGTAAACGATCTCGGATTTGAATTTTGATGGTTCTGTTAGCTCAGTTAGGTGATTTTGGACTTGGGAGCGCATTCGGAATGTGATTTGGAGGTCCGTAGTGGAATTAGGCTTGAATTGACGAAAATTGAAAATTTAGCGATTTCGGTCGGCAGTGGAAAATTTGATATCGGGGTCGGAATAGATTTCCGGAAGTTGGAGTAGGTTCGTTGTGTCATTTGTGACATGTGTGTAAAATTTGAGGTCATTCGGACGTGGTTTGATAGGTTTCGGCATCGTTGGTGGAATTCAGAAATTTAGAAGTTCTTAGGCTTGATTCCAAGGGTAATTTGGTGTTTTGAGTGATTCGAAGGTTCGACTAAGTTCGTATGATGTTATGGGACGTGTTGGTATGTTTGGTTGAGGTCCCGAGGGTCTCGGGTGAGTTTCGGGTGGTTAACGGACCAATTATGACCTTTGAGAGATAACTGATCTGCTGTTTTTTTTTTGCTGTTGCTGGTTTCCTCTTACGCATTCGCGAGGTAGGTCTCGCGTTCGCGAAGAGTATCTGGAGATTGAGGAAGAATTGTTCTTCACGTTCGCGAAGTAAGGGACGCATTCGCGAAAGCTTAGGAGTAGAGTGCATCGCGGACGCGAGGTGAGTAATGCGTTCGCGAGAAGAGAAAGGGGCAGCTGGGGACCCCATTCATTTGGTCTACGTGTTCACGAGGGTGAGGTCGCGTCCGCGAAGAGAAAGTTTAGTAAAGGTTCGCGTTCGCGTAGAAGGGATTTCTGGGAAGCGGCAGTTGTGCTTCGCGAATGCGAGGGTACTTCCGCATTCGCGAAGAAGGAAATCTGGGCAGCAGTGTTAAATTTCAAAATCGGGGGTTTGAACCCATTTTTCATGCTAGAGACCACGGATTTAGACGAACTTTGAAGGGATTTTCAGGGAGTTGATTGGGTAAGTATTTCTCACTTGATTTTGGTTATATTCCACGATTATATCTTGATTTTTATCATCTAAATTGTGATTTGGGGTGAAAAACACTGGGGAAAAAGTGGAAGAGTTCTTGATATGGAATTTTAAGGTTTTCAAGGAATTTTTTTGTCGGATTTTGGTAAATTTGGTATGACTAGACTCGTGAGTGAATGATTTTTCGTGTTTTGTGACTTTTGTCGGATTCCGAGACGTGGGCCCGGGGGCCGGGTTTGAGCCAATTTCAGATTTTGAGCCTAATTTAGTAATTTTCTTGTGGAATGGATTCCTTTAGCATATATTAATGGTATTGTACTTCTTATGGCTAGATTCGGGACGCTCGGAGGCCAATTCGAGAGGCAAGGGCATTGCGGAGTAGAGATTCGCTCGGATTGAGGTAAGTAACGGTTGTAATTCTAGTCCTGAGGGTATGAAACCCCGAATTTTTGTGTCATGTGACTATTTGGAGTTGACGCACATGCTAGGAGACGGGTGTGTGGGCGCACACCATTGGGAATTTGTGACTTGGTCTGTCCCATAGCAACTGTAAAGTTGAACAACCTGTTGTAGCTATATGCTCTTTATGTGCTTTAGAAAGATTTACTGTAAATCATGCTAGATACTATGTCTAGGCCTTATGCCAGTATTGTTTGGACCCTTAGAGGTCGTTTCTTGCTGTCCTCTCACTGCTTTAGTTGATATCCCGTACTCAGTTATGTTCATGTATTCTTACATCATAGCCCAATCTCTGTCATTCTATTTGTTGCATCATGTTAATGTTGTTTGGGCTGATTTCTTTAATTTCTGAGAGCCAAAGAGACTGGAGAGGTTTATGACTGAGTGAGGCCAAAGGCCTGTTTGTGAGGTATTGTATCTTAGCATGTGAGTTGTCCGTGCGGATTATGATATGATATTATAGCACGTGAGTTGTTCATGTAGATTATAGCGCTTGGGATGTAGGATCCCCTCCGGAGTCTGAACACCCCCTGTGAGCGCAAGTACCTACTGAGTGTGAGTGCCGAGCGCTAAGCGATTGTGAGTCTTGAGCGAGTGTGAGGTTGGAGTTATTGGGAGGACTGAGTGATGTTAGCCCGAGGGGCAGTACATGATTTCATCATCCATGCTCATAGTTGCTTTGAGTCCTTGTTTGAGAACTTTTGAAGATATTTCTGATTGTCTTACTTGAACTTGATTTAAACAAACTGATTTGACTTAAACTTGGTTGCATAGCATCCCGCACTTTACTAAATTCTTGTGATATGAACGGTACTTGAATTTAGCTCGTCACTACTTCTCAGCCTTTATTTATTTATGTTACTTACTGAGTTGGTGTACTCACGTTACTCCCTGCACCTTATGTGCAGATCCAGGCTTTTTTGGTCACCGTAGCGGCTGCTGATATTCCGGTAGCTAATAATTAGAGTTAGCAAGGTAGCTGCCCGGCGATCGCAGCCCTGTTTTCTCCTTCTTTATCTCCCCCTTAGTTGTATTTTGGATATTTCCCAGACTAAGTTAGTCTTATTGTTGTCGAACTAGTTTTTAATAGTTGCTCATGACTCAGTGACACCCCGATGTTTGGGGCTTTTCATTCCGCATTTCTATTTTGAGTTCAACCCTTGTTTCTTTTATGAAATTCTGCTATACAAGACGCCTTTTGGCATATATTTGAATGAATTGTTGTAGTATTGTGGGAGTCAACTGGCCTAGTACCATCGATAGGCGCTATCACGACAAGTTTGAGTTTAGGGTCGTGAAAAGTTGGTATCAGAGCCTAGGTTACATAGGTCTCACGAGTCATGAGTGGGTTTAGTAGAGTCTTGTGGATCGGTACAGAGACGTCTGTACTTATCTTCGAGAGGTTGCGAAACCTTTTGGAAATCTAACATTCTTGAATTCTTGTCGTGCAAATCTTTTGATTCTGGTAACTAAACTTCTGTTGTTTCATTCTCTCACAGATGGTGAGGACTCGTACTACCGGTCAGGATGGACAACCACCAGTACCACCAT